AAGCTCTGCTAGCGTAGTGGTTACAAGTCGGGCTGCACACCTCAAGGTCAGCAGTTCAAAACTACTAAAAGTTCCGTGAGAGAAAGATTAGTCTTTCTGCTCCCATAAAGATTTACAGTCTCAGATGTTGTTGTTAAGTGCCATTAGATGATTAGAGAGAGAGAGAGAGAGAGAGAGAGAGAGAGAGAGAGAGAGAGAGATGTAGAGATGCAGAGATGTTGTTATTAAATGCCATGAAGTCAGTTCTAACTCATAGCAACCCTGCATAGGGTTTCTGGGGCTCTAAATCTTTGCAGGAGCAGAAAGCTGGTGGGCTCAAACCACCAACCTTGTGGTTCACAGTCCAGTGCTCATCCTATAGCACCAGACCAGGGCACCCCATATATACCAATGTTGTTGTTGTTGTTATGTGCCGTGGAATCAGTTCCGACCAGGTACAGGGTTTCCAAGGCTGTAAATCTTTACTGGAGCAGAAAGCCTCATCTTTCCCCCACAAAACAGCTGGTAGTTTGGAACCGCTGACCTTGCGGTTTGCAGCCCGATTCGTAACCACTACGCTACCAGAGCTCCTAGCAAACCCTATTCAGGGTCATTATAAGTCAGAATCAACTCTATGGCACTTAACAACAAAATACATATATATGTGTGTGGGTGTATGTATATACATATTATATTATTTATTGGTCCAATTAGAAGGATTTAAATTTTCTTTACATTGAATTGTAATCCATACAGAAAGCTCTATTATTTGATCTGTATCAGTAAGTGCTTCAAGTTCTCTTCACTTTCAGCAAGCAAGGCTGTGTCATCTGCATACCTTAGGTCGTTAATAAGCCTTCCTCCAATCCCGATGCCATGTTTTTCTTCATTAGCTTCTTTCAGTAAGTATGGTAAAAAGACACAACCCTGATGGCACATCTTTCCTAAGTTTAAACCATGAAGTAACACAGTATCACCTGGTTGTGTTTAAACGACAGTGTCTTGATCTATGTACAGGTTCTGCACGAGCATAATTAAGTGTTCTGGAATTCCCATTCTTCTCGGTGTTAGCCATAGTTTGTTATGATACAGACAAATGCCTTTGCATAACCAATAAAACACAAGTAAACATCTTTTGGAACTCTCTGCTTTCAACCATGATCCATCTGACATCAACAATAATATTCCTCATTCTACATTCTCTCCTTAACCTGGCTTGAATTTCTAGCAGCTCCCTGTAGATGTGCTACTGCAACCATTTTTCAATTATCTTCGGCAAAAATCTACTTACATATGATATTAATGATACTGTTTTGAAAAGCTCAGCATTTTAAAGGTTGACCTTTCTTTGAAATGTGCATAAATGTGGATCTCTTCCAGTCGGTGGTCAGTTAGCTGTCTTTCCAAATTTTTTGGTGCAGACTAGTGAGTGCTTCCTGTATAGTGCTTCAGCTTATTGAAATGACATATTGCATTGGAAAAATCTGCTACAAAAGACCTCTTTTAAAGTGTTAAAGAGCAAAGATGTCACTTTGAGGACTAAGGTATGCCTGAGCCAAGCCACAGTAGTTTTAATCACTTCACATACATGTGAAAGTTGGAAAATGAATAAGGAGGATCAAAGAACAATCAATGCATTTGAACTGTGGCGCTAGTGAGAAATATTGTTAAGTACCACAGACTATGAGAAGAAGAAACAATCTGTCTTGGAAGAAGTACAGCCAGAAAGCACCTTAGAAGCGAGGATGGTGGAACTCCATCTCACATACTTTGGGTAATTATGAGGCAGGACCAGTCCCTGGAAAAGGACATCATGCTTGGTAAAGTAGAGGGTCAGCAAAAAAGAGGAAGAACTTCAACGAGACAGACTGACACAGCGGCTAAAACAATGGGCTCAAACATAGCCATTAAGTAGGTGGCGCAGGATCTAACAGTTGTTGTTTTATTCCATTTTGCAAAAGGTCACTATGAGTTAAAGAAAACTGGACAGCACCTAACAAGACATATACATATGTGAGCTTCACTAGTTTTGCTTCACTAGAGAACTCAGCCTCAGACACTTTTCCTCATTTTCCCAGTATCTCATCTGATCCTTCTTAGGACTCAGAAAAACAAATATTCCAAAAAATGCCAGAGAGACATTACCTACAAACATTATTCTGAAAGAAAAAAAAAAAAAAATCAGCATTTAAAGACTGACTTATGTCATTGTGTCTCACAGATTCACATGGATTGATTTTAAAACTTTTTTTAATAGAATGTTTACTCATAGATGAGAAGGGATTATCTATTGCACAAATTACTCAGTGATTTAAAAAAAAAAAAGTGCTAAAAGTTGCTTTTTAAGGATCAGACTATAAGTGGAACATCTTTTATGTTGTGATTCCTTCGAGGGCCATTAAAGAAGAAATAAATAGCTCAGCTTTCTCTTTCACAGAATTTCCTAAGTCTGCTCCCTTAAAGATTTAAAGCCTCAGAAACCCTATACAGGGTTGCTGGTGGTGGTGGTTATGTGCAGTGGAGTCAAAACCAACTCATAGCAACGCTGCACAGGGTTTCTGAAGCTATAAATCTTTATGGGAGCAGAAAGCCTCATCTTTCTCCTGCAGAACAGCTGGTAGTTTTGAACTGCTGACCTTCAGGTTCACAGCCCAATTTGTAACCACTACGCTACCAGAGCTCCTTGGTCGCTGAGTCAAAACCAACTTGGTGGCACACAACCACCACCTCCACCACCATTACTCTGGAGTTCTGTTGTGGCATTGGACTGCTACCCTTAAGGCTGGCAGTTCAAACACACCAATCGCTCCTAGGAAACCTCGTACAGGGTCACTATGTGTTGGAACTGATTCGACAGCACTTAGTAAGAACAACTGTTATTCTAAAGGAGTCCTGGTAATATAGTGAGTTATAAGTTGGGCTGCTAACTACAAGGTCAGCAATTCAAATCTACCAGTTGCTCCACAGGAGAGAGATGAGGGTTTCTGCTCCCATAATTTAAAGCCTCAGAAACCCTATATAAGATTGTTATGAATCAGAACTGACTCGGCATACAACAACCACCACTAACATCAGTGTTACAACTCTGGTGTGGCACTGTAGGATAAGCACTGGGCTGCTAACCGCAAGGTCAGTGGTTCAAGCTTACCAGCCACTTCTTGGAAACTCTATACAAAGTCACTATGAATCAGAGCCAATTTGGCAGCATGCAACAATAATACTGTTACTCTATTTAGAGATTTTCAAGAGTCTTGTGATGCCAATAACAGTAAGTCTGCTTTTCATCACTTAAAATCTTTTGGTTTTTTCCTATTTTGCTTTTGTGTTCCTCCTTTCCTTATGCTTTCTACTTTACTGATTACTGCTCCATTTTGGTTCAAGTAGGGCTTGGCTCTGAACACCATACCAAGTTCTTCTTGTTTCTCATCAACAAGCCAAACCAGTCATACCACACCTTTTTTGTTTTCTTTCTCTCACAACTTCTATATTACTGAGAACATCAGTATTTCTTTGCTTTGAATTTCTGGCTGTTTTGTAATGTACAGAATACTAAAAATGAAATATTAATAATATAAAGGAAATACTGCTAGGCTTCAATTTGTTGTTGTTGCTGTTAAGTGCCATCCAGTCAGTTCTGACACACAGTAATCCTGTATAGGGGAGGTTCCTGAGGAGCGGCTGGTGGGCTTGAGCCACCTACACTGTGGTTAGTAGTCTAGAGCTTATCCTACAGTGCAATGCCAAGATTCCATGTTTCAATTTAGGACAATCAAAGCTGACGTGGTGATTTTGAAAAATCCCTCACAGACACTGAAAAAGCATACAAATGATAAGAAATCCTTTTAGAATTCAGGAAAACTTCTTTACTTTTCAGGAACGTAAAACCCTCAAGGGTTTTTTTTAAAGTCTTTTACAGAACAATTCACAGAGCAATCTTTAACATTAATCTTAACCTTGGTAAATTTTATTAGTTTCAAAAATAATTGTTACTTGCTACATATTGTTGCTGTTGTTGTTAAGTGTCGTCGAGTCAATTCTGACCCATAACAACCCTGTTTAGGGTTTTCGAGGAGTGACTAGTGAACTTGAACCACCGGTCTTGCAGTTCAAACTGACTTTACAGTCCAGCACATTAACCCACAGCACCACACCAGAACTCCTGTTACATATTAGGCACTTCATTAAATTTCATTAAATACGTTTTTTATATAACGTGATTATAACTTTTAAGCATCTAGCATTTTTCACACTTCAAAAATGACTACATCAAAAACAAATTACAAGTTAACACAAATCAAAAACCAATTTCATTAACTGATTAAATCCTATATGTAATTACCTCAATCTAACACCTAAGGGCCTTCTTCTATTACTTTGATTTCTCCTTCTTGGCCTTATGGTATGAAGAAAAACTGAGAATACATAAATGTTTGGTCTTTTTTGATTCTGATATTCAATCTGGGCACTTACCTTTTTATCCTCTCTGCCTCATTTAATCTTCCAATACAATTCATTTATTTACTTCTCAGCTTCTAACTAACATAACTCCTAAGAATCTTAAAACTCCTAAGAATCTTAAATTTATCTACACTGCTTCTTCCTGTCAATCAATATTAACTAGTACAAACATTCATAATTTGAATTCACATTAAAATGCTCTCTAAAAACATACTTGTTCCTCAGAAAGTCATTAACTTACAACACCTAGTCATTATTCAGTTAACTTATTTGTTTTATATAAATTAATTTTAAATAAAAGTTAACTCACTATTTTTTTCTTCTGAGATTTTAAATCATCCAATGCTTCATCTAGAAAAAAAAAAAGATTTAAATCAGAAATAAGATACTAAGATATATGAATAAAAGGTCATGCCAAATGCTATACATTAAGCAGATAGAAGAAAATTTTCTCATCTTAGGATTTCTCTTAATTTAACGTAATGTGTGAAAACAAAACTATTACCAATCCTTCTCCGTATAAACTTTATATTTTTGTCTATGTACTACAAGTCATTTAAGAAAGCAATGGACTTTACATAGCATAAAAATTTTTCCAAATTTGGAAAGATATATATATATATTTTAATGTTTTCAGAATCATTAATTTCTATTATTTCTTATTCTTTTCAACAACTCACCCACATTAATTTATAAATCTAATGGTAAATCACTTTATACATTAGTAAGGAAAATGAACTTTTTAAAATACGGTAGAAAAACTGTAATACATTTTAAAAAGTTAATCAAACTCCAAGATACCAAAAATGAACAAAGAATACTTGTTAAAAATTTATAATATTATAAAGGTGTAATGGTAGCATGGTGGATTACGAGTTGAGCTGCTAATCACAAAGTCAGTAGTTCTAATCCATCAGTCACTCCATGGGAGAAAGATGATGCTTTCTGTTACCATAAAGATTAACAGCCTTGGAAATGTTATACAAGGTAGCTATGAGTCAGAACCGACTTGAGGCACACAACCACCACCACTATAGCATTATAGCTTGAGGAATGACATGGAAAAGAGTAAAGGAGTAGAATATCAACAACTACAAAATTACACATTTCTAAGAGTTGCCTGTTGAGATTTCTATGGTGAAACACATAATATTTTCTAAGGATATAACTTATGAATAGCAATACCTACTATGCAAACTTATTTTAGGTTTCTAGTTTTTCTCCTGAAACATTTAACTACTGGAAATAGGAATAGTATTCTAAATGAAAAAGAGAAAATGTTATGATTTTATTTAAATAGCTTATCTAATGGAATTTAAAGAATTACTCTTAGTTTTATTTTTAATTGAATCGATAAATAAGATTATATTTCTACTAACCTACTGGGGTAGAAAACATCTGAATACTTCATTTAAACTATTCAATGTAAACCACCACTCTTTTGTCACTTTGTCATACTGTGGTGACTTGTGTGTTGCTGTGATGCTGGAAGCAATGACACTGGTATTTTAAATACCAACAGGATCACCAATGGTAGACGGTTTCAGCAGAGTTTCCAGAGTAAGAGGACGAAGAAAAGAAAGGCAGAGCACTTGTGAATAGTTAGCCACTGAGAACCTTATGAATAGCAGCAGAACACTGTCAGACATAGTACCAGATGAGCCCCATAGGTTAGAAATCACTGAAAACACAAATAGTAATATGCTCTCTCCTCAAAGTAGAGTTGACCATAATGACAAGAATAAAGTATTTGGGACCTTCGTTTCCTGGTGGGGAACAACACAAAATGAGAAGAAACAGCAGTAAACATCCATTAATAATTGGGACGTGGCTTGTATAAAGCATGAAATCTAGGAAAATCAGAAGTTGCCAAAAATGAAATGAAATGCAAAAGGTCAATATCCTAGATATTAGTAAGCTGAAATGGACAGGAACTGATCATTTTGAATAAGACAAATGCTAGGAACAACAAATCAAAGATGAATGGTGTTGCATTCATCATCCAAAAGAACATTTCAAAATTTATCTTGCAGTGCAATGTTGTCTATGATATGATAATATACATACACCTACAAGAAAGATCAGTTAATAACACTATTATTCAAATTTGTGCACCAACCAATAAAGTCAGTGACAATGTAGTTGAAGAATTCTACCAACTTCTTTAGTGTGAAATTGATCAAACATGTGATCAAGATGCACTGATAATTATTGGTGGTTGGAATGTGAAAGTTGGAAACAAAGAGGAAGGATCAATCACTAGTTGGAAAATATGGCCTTAGTGATAGATGCAAGAGACAGCTTTACCTAATTTTGCTAAGATCCATGACTTATTCATTGTGAGTACTTTTTTCTTTTTTCAACAACATAAACCGCAACTATACAGGTGGACTTCACCAGATGGAATACACAGGAATCAAACTAATTATATATGTAGGAAGAAATTATTTAAAAAAAAAAAAAAAGCTCAATATCACCAGCTAAAACAAAGCTGATGAAAAACTCCATGAGAGCCAAAATATGATCCTGAATATATCCCATACGAATTTACAAATTACCTAAAAAACAGATTTGAAGAATTAGACAAAAATGACAGAAAAATAGAAGAGTAGTGGGATTATGTCAAGAGCACCATACATGAAGAAAGCTACATGTCATTAAAAAGACAGGAAAGAAAGAAAAGACCAAAATGGATGTCAGAAGAGAAGCTGAAACTTGCTCTTGAGCATAGAGAAGATAAAGCAACTGGAAGAAAACGAGTAAGTAGAAGAAATGAACAGAAATTTTCAAAGGGTGGCTGGAAAAGACAGTCAAGTATCATAATGAAATGTGCAAAGACATGGAGTTAGAAAACCAAAAGGGCAGAATACACTCACCATTTCTCCAGTTTAAAGAACTAAAGAAAAAAATTCAAGGCTAACATTACAATTCTATGGGAAAAATATTGAATGACAGGAAACATCAAAAGAAGATAGAAGGATACACAGAGTCATTGTATCAAGAGAACTGATTGATACACAACCATTTAGAGAGGTAGCCTATAATCAAGAACTGATGGTACTGAACACACTGGCAATGTTTGGTCATGTTAAGTATGAGATACTTACTGGGTACCCAAGTGGAAATAACAGTTATACAGTTGAGTATACAAATCTGGAGCTCAAGAGAAGGATCTAGGTTAAAGATTTAGATAGTGGTAGTCATCAACAGGAGTCCTGGTATGGAACTGTAGAAAAAGTGCTGAGCTGCTAATCACAAGGTTGGTGGTTCAAACCAACCAGGTACTCCTTGAAAACCCAATACAGGGTTGATATGAGTCAGAACAGACTCAGTGGTACTTAACAACAGTCATCTACAAATATACACTCTGACAGTAGAAAAAACTACCATTAGGTGCATGCCTAATACAGTAGCCACTAACCACACAGGCTATTTAAATTTCAAGTAATTCAAATTAAATAAAATTTTAAATCCAGTTCCTGAGTCATACAAGCTACATTTCAAGTGTTCAATTGTAACATATAGCTAAAAGATACCATACTGGACATCATCAGCATAGAATATTTTTATCTTTACAAAGCGATATATTGGACAGTACTTCTGACCTCGCCAAAATATTTAAAAGATAAGGCAGCCATGGACAAAATATTAGTGAAGTATTGCCAAAGAAGCTTAAAGATGAACATGTTTCAAGAAAACGGGTAAATAAGTAATACTATTGTATTAACAGCAAAGTTAAAAAAACACACACAAAAAAAAAAAAACAGAAAACAAATGCTGGCAAATGTGTGGAGACCGGGACCTTCCTACAGTGTTGCTAAGACTATAAAATGGTGCAATCACTGTGAAAAATGGCTTAGCACTTCGTAAAAACGTTGGAAATAGCAATACCATAGTATGACCTGGCAATCCCTCTACTTGTTTAATATCCCTAAGAAATACAAACCATGACACGAGTAGATACATGTACATGCAGCACTATTCACAATAGCAAAATATTAGAAACAGCCTAAGTGTCCATCAGTGGAAGAATGAAAAAACAAACTTTGGTACCTACATACCAATGGAATACTACACAACACTGAAGAATAGTGATGACTCTGTGAAACATAACATGGATGAACCTGGAGGGCATTATATTGAGCAAAATTGTTGTTAAGTGCCATCAAGTCGCAAGGACAAATACTGTATTAAACTACTATTTTAAGATCTCAAGAAAAGGTTTTCATGCTCAAAGAAGCTTTTATTTATAGTCACCAGGGGAGGAAATGGAGAGTAATCCACTGGCTAGAGGGTAGACATGTGTTAACTTGGGTGAAAGGAAAGGTAATATACAAGGAGAGGCTGGCAGAGAAGATAAAGATAGGTGAAGATACAGATAGGAAGGAAAGAGTGAAAGGGATTAGAGGAATAAATACTGTTATATACACAACCCTGCATCAACACTGTTGTTGGGTAGCTACACATGGACAGACAGGCTGAATGAGTATGGGAGGGAGAATAGAAGTATACCCACAAATATATCAGGGTTTGAAATAATTTATACATGAATATTTACTTGTGCTGTGAACACACCTATGAATGTAATGGAGCATACAAGGGAGGAAATGAGGAAAACTTCTTGAACATTACCACAAACCTTGAGGTAATGAATTGCTGAGCCTGGGGCTCAGGACACCATCGTCAACTGGCATAACATAATCCACAGAGACAGTATCTACATCCTATTTTGATGAGTAGTGACTGGGATCTTAAAGCTCATGAGCAGCCATGTAAGTTGTATACATTGATCTCTTCATGTGCAGAAGAAAGAAGAGTGGTGAAAATTGAAGACGCTTGGAATCAATAGTCCAATGGGCTAATTGAAAACATGAACATCAGTCTCCATGACTCTGAGACCAGAAGAACTAGATGGTGCCTGGCTACCACTACCAACTGCTCCAAAAGGGATTGCATTAGAAGGTCCCAGATAGAGTGGGAGATCCTGTGAAATAAAACTCAAAATTATAAGGAAGACCAGGCTTATCTATCAGAAAGAGGCTAGAAAAACCAAAAGCTATGGCCCTCAGCCACCCTTCATGTCTAGAACGGAATTTACACTTGTGGCTCAATTTTCAACCAAGTGGTAGATAGACGTATCAGGGAGCAATATTAGTAAGGTATGCTCACCCCATGGAATGGTCAACCATTCAAGATGAATAGCAAACAATACTCTCAAAGAGAAAAAAGTAAATTTACCAGGGAATTATAATAGGGCTTTGTAGCAATATTGAGAACACAGTTGCTATCTGCAATCATACTTTAAAACAAGTCTATTCCATTGGCTGTATGATTTTCTTCTAGCAAGTTTAGCTGTCTGACTCAGGTGCTTAATGTATTTAACAAGGTCAATGTCCTGCCAGTGACAGATTAAGCAGGTAACATTTAAAAGGGTAGGGCTTGCCAGACAAAGAGGACGAGAGAAGGGAACAAAGAGTCATGGATGACTATTAGGCAATGGTCACCAACTGGCCTAGACCACAGAGTCTAAGCAAGATGAGAGGTCATGAAAGAGGAGGGCAGTTTAAAAGCTGGGTAACTGTAGCTGCCTTATTTTGGATCCTTATTTGGAGTCAAACAAACCTTGGTTTAAAAAAAAAAGTCTGATACATGAGATCACTAGAAATTTAATGTTGTGATAATTAATATTTTATTAAATTAGGAATTTTTTAAGCATGATAATACATTGTTTTCTATATATGGGAGTCCTGGTGTGGCATTGTGGGTTAATGTGCCAGACTATAAAGCTGTTTAGACTGTAAGGTCGGAGGTTCAAGCTCACCAGCTGCTCTTTGACCGTATGCAGGGTCGCTATGGGTCGGAACCAATTCGACGGCACTTAACAACAACAACATATTTAAAGGGTCTAATATAGATAGGGAGTCCTGGTGTTGTGCTGTAGGACAAGCACTAGACTGCTAACAAAAAGGACAGCAGTTCAAACCCACCAGCTGTTCCTCAGAAACCCTAGAGGGACACTGTGAGTTGGAACCAACTAGAATGACACTTAATAACAACATTACAGATATTGAGTGATAACGGAATCTCTGTAATGATACTGACAATTCTCTGTGAGAGAAAGCTGTGGCCGTCTATGTCTATACAGATCAGCACCTTAGAAAACTGAGGCGGCAGTTTCACTTGGCCCCACAGGGTCACTATCAATCAGAATCAATATGGTAGCAATGGATTGGGGTTTAGGGTTATAGATATGAGCCCAGGGGTGCAGTGGTTAAGTTCTTGGTTACTAAAAGGTAGGAAGTTTGAACACACCAGTTGGTCCACAGCAGAACAATTACAACCTCAAACACCCTATGGGGGTAGTTCTACTTACTCTGTCACATACGGTTGCTATGCATCAGAATAGACTAAATGGCAATAGGTCTATTATAGGTATATCAGGGTTACACTTCAAAGTAATACAGGAGGTGGAGAAGCAGGTGGGGTAGAGATAAAACAAAACTCACCAGGAATAAGCAGTTTAGATGGCTGATGAATAAGTATATTACTGTTTAGTCTACTTTTGCATATGTTTTAAATTTTTCACAACAAAAATTTAAAACAAGTTGGGGAAAAGTCATATGTAAAGGTCATTTTAAATGGAATTTATGGATATAGCCCTTAATTGTAACTCATACAGATGCCTTCAAAAGTTCATGGAATAACTCTGAGACCAAAAGAACTAGATGGGTGCCTGGATACCAACACCAACTGTTATTGAGGGGATTACAACAGAAGGTCCCAGTCAGAGGAACCCCAGACTATGACCCTTGTTGACCAAGCTTCAGGTCTGGAAAGGAATTCACCTTCGTGACCCAATTTTCAGCCATGCAGTAATGTAAAAAGGAGGGATAACAACACTAGTAAGGTATGCTCACCATGGGAGAGCCAATCATTCAATATCAAAAGGGTGACATTTACTTAAGGACAAAATTGAAAAGGATTAGAAACCAGGGTAGAATGGAAATAGGAACCTCAGGGAGGAAACAGGATAACTATTGTTGAATGGAGGAGACTGCAATCATTGAAATGAAACAAAGTGTATGATTTGTTCAGTGCAAAACTGATGATCTTGTCTGGAATCTTCATTCAATTCATAATAAAAGTTGTTTTTTAAAATGTTCATGGAAAATTCCATTATCTTTTCATTTCATTTTTCCACAAACTTTTTGAAGCCCCCTCGTATCTTAAGATCTGAAAATCTTTAAAATCTGTTCATGGTGGTTGGTGGTAGTGGTAGTGTGCTGTGGAGTCTGTTCCAACTCATAGCGACCATCCATGCAGAGGGTTTCCAAGGCTGTAATTCACTACGGAAGCAGAAAGTCTCACCTTTCTCTCGTAGAATGGCTGGTAGTTTCAAACTGCTGACCTTGAGGTTAGTACCCCAACTCATAATCACTACACTACCACATCGATAAAATACAGAAAGATAATTTATAAATAATCTGCATATTTCCATAAAAACAAAGGCCTAGGGGTTGTGAGGTGAAAGCATGGTATAATTACTATAATACATCAAAAGGTGTGTTACTAGATTTTGCTCCTTACTAAGTTTTCTATTAAGACTAATTTACATGTTGTTAGCAATTATACCTTAAGTGTAAACCAATATAAATTCTCTACATTTAAAGAAATGAATTGTTTTGTTTTAGATAAAATACTACCATTCCATAAGAGCAAGACAAAAATAACACAAATTGAGAAACAAAACCATCTTGATCATCCATAACCTTTCCAATGCTTTCCAGTGAGAAACTCTCCAATATTTACTATTTTACCATTCCAATAGTCCACTTCACAACTTGCCATTCAATTATAAATCCACAGTTAGTTTTTTATGAAAAAATTAATAACAACACACTTAGAAATTAAACTTACTGTTTCTTTCTGTTCTTTTGGAAAAGAAGAAAATAAGTACAGTTCTTATGCTCCAGATGCTATAGAGGAAGCAACAGTCAGAAACAAAAGCCATATTAGGACAGGTGAATTAGAAACATCAAAAATGAAAGCAAATACACATTTCCAGTTAGATTTAAGGTACCCTGTGTCTCCCTTTATAGTTTGAAAATCAAAAAGTACATGTTTCTGTCAGACTACATCAAAAGTCTACCTGTATTTTTAAAGGAAAATTCTAAACCTAAAGTCCAAGAATGTTCTGAGAGTCCCCCTAAAAGTACATATAAAATTGTCTTTGTGTAGATAGTGAATTTCTCTAGAAAGCCCACTGCTTGTATTATTCTCAAAGGGGTCTACAAACTCCTAAAAAGTTAATATTAATATCATAGAATCTCTTCTTACAAAGTAAGCATTTGTCTATTTCCATACATAAGTGAAAAGCACATTTTGCAAACCCAGAGTATTATACAAATATAATTTACTAGTCCTTCCCTGTAATTTAAGATGTGGGGGGATGCATGTGGGTAGAAATTTTCTTTACTCAGTGGATACGCTGTTGAGGTGGGATGGAGAAACCTTACCTTCAAATGAATATTTGGTAAGTAAACTTAGCTAAATATGTCCTTGACTAAATATGTCCAAACACTCTATGACAATATTTCTTTAGGCCTTACATTAGTAAGATATCAAATGACATTAAAATAACTAAAATAAATTCAAATGATCCTAAACACATACTTATCAAGATTAGCTCTTAAATTCAATGCAAATATGATAGGTCTTCAAAAGGTTCATAGAAAAATTCCATTATCCACTTTTTCCATCAACTTTGTGAAGCCCCCTCATGTAGCAAAATACCTCTTCTTACAGAACATGGCAGAAATAAGTATGCAAACATTACCTGTCATTTCAAAAAAGAAATGCATTGTATCAGAATATAAATTTAGATAATAAGTCATAAAAATGAGTTATTCACTCTGAAGTAGATTGGTGTTGTCGGTTCTGACCCACAGCGACCCTGTACAGGGTTTTCAAGGAACAGCTGGTGAGTTTGAACCGCAAAACTTGTGGTTGGAGCCACACCAGGACTTTGAAGTATATGCATTGCATATTCTTGGTATAAAAAGAATAAAAAATAGCAGTTTTTTTTAAAACTCATTCTTTAAGAAACAAAAAGGGTCTGTAAACAGCTAAATACAAAAAATAAAAATAAACAAATAATGAGGCAATCATCATCAATACAAAGAAAAGAATCCTAAGAAAGTAAAAATTAAAAGACTCCTAACTACTAGTATTACAAACACACTCGACCATAAGGCCAGTTTGAACTGTAAAGTCAGCAGTTCAAACTCACCAGCCACTCCTCAGAAACCCTACACAGGATCACTATGAGTCAGAACTGACTTGACAGTATTTAACAACAACTACTACTACTATTACAAACAACACTACAGAAATCATTTCAAAACTGCAAAATTAGAAAGAGATAGGTAGATAGATATGTTGTTGTTAATTGCTATCAAGTTGGTTTCAACTCATAACAATCCAAGGAGAGCCTCATCTTTCTCCCTCAGAGTAGCTGGTGGGTTGGAATCGCTTACTTGTGGCTCACAGTCCAGTGCTTATCCTACAACCACTGCACCCCGTGTGTGTGTGTGTGTGTGTGTGTGTGTGTATACACATATAGTACATTTTGAAGCAAAATTAACTCCGGAAGAGGTAGGAAACCTAAAATATTAACTACTATTTGTCAAGAGCTATCCTCTAAAAAAAAGCATCAAGCTCAAAAATTTTCAAAGGGATTTCTATCCAACCTATAAAAGACAGATAATGCCAGTACTATTTAAACTATTTCAGAGAACTGATATATAATCAAATGATACTAACAACAAACTTATTAAGTAGGAAAATATATAAAACACTACAAATATTTTTATAAAAGGACTAAAACACTGAAGGTAAAATTTCTCCTGCCTAGAATTCAAGTATGATTCACTATTTAATATCAAAATATGTAAGATTAAAAAATCATATGGTTACCACCATACATGATAAAAAGGTATTTAACAATATACAGTAAATGTGTTTACTAAACATAAAAATTTAATGAGTAGCTACAAATTTCTTAACATGATAAAATATATATCTCACCCAGAAGCCAGAGTAATACTCAGTGGAAACCATTAGACACATTCCCAAAGAACAAGTTAAGGCTGTCCACCATTTTCTTTGTAATTAACAATAACCTGGAGGTCTAGTCAACACAATTAACCAAGAGAAAAAAATCAGTGGCAAAACATCTAAAAAGAAGTGGTAAAATTATTGCTATTTTCCAATGATATAATTCAGCTGTAAATTTTCCAAGAACCAATTTAAAAAAAAAATAGAAATAATCATTATTGTAACTGAATATAAAAACAGTATAAAGAAAACTAATGTTTCATATATATAATCAGTTTTAAGATATACTAAAATCCCTTTTATTCACATTCACCAAAGCAAAGCCTCATCTTTCCCCCCGAGCAGCTGGTGGACATGAGCCACAGACCTTGTGGTTTGCAGTCAGTGCTTATCATATGGAGCCACTGTGCTCAAACACTGTCCAGCGGCTTCCATAGAAAATCACAAATGGGCACTAGCAGGAAATATCTGGAACCTCCATATAACAACCACTTATGAGATGGTAAAACATTTGAGTTCCTTATTATTCAGTGTTTTACTATACTCAAACTAAAATTACTAAAAGTCAAAATATAGTGGAATAACTAAAACTCAATCAATTAATAAAACCTTCTTCATGTTTACTTAGACTATTACCTAAATTTCTGGTCTTTCACCAACCTTCACATGTAGAACTCTTTACCTATCAATCCTCTGTCAAACTTGTGTTCCCTTTCCAATATCATATTGTTATTGTTGTTGTTAAGCGCCGTCAAGTTGGTTCCAACTCATAGCGACCCTTTCTGGGGGTTTCCAAGGAGTGGCTGGTGTGTTTGAACCGCCACCTTGCGGTTAGCAGTCCAAGGTAACTACGGTGCCACACCAGGACTCCTTTCTAACAAAGAAGCCCTATCAACTTTACAAAAATGTTCTAAGTGAGATTTTGCAATATATAAGCTAAAAGTAAAATAAAATACAGGTTGACCTTCACACACACCCCCCCCATTTTATCTAACCACTGTAAGCTTTAGCAAGAATTCCCAGTCAAACAGTCAGGCAAACTAACCACAATAATTTATCCTGGTGTAAGGAAGAATCTAGGAATCAGTTTGTATGTATGTGTATGTTTGCATTTTTGTTTGTCTCTCTGTTTTACATATGTGAGGGAACATCAAAAAGTTCATGGAAAAATGAAACTAAAAGACAATGCATTTTTCCACTAACTTTCTGAAACCGCCTCATAATTCTATACCATTTTCCCAGTTGATTCTGACATATATGAAATTCATTTTCTACTTTATTTCTGTATTCTCAAGCATCTTTCTTTTGTCTAGGTGTCTATACCAAGCTGTTTTAACTCATTAAGTGTTATAATGCATTTAATGCCTGGTAGATGTCTGCTTCTCATTGTTCTGCTTTTTCAGAATTTTCCTGATTATTCTTAGATGCTTATTTCTCTATTTAAAATTAGAGAATAAATATGGCTAGATATATTTAATATTATTCATAGTTTTAATGTGATCATAGTCTTTTAAATTAATCTAGGGAGAACTGATCTCTTTACAGTACTACCTTCCCACTCAAGAATAGCATTTGTCTCTTAATTAAAGCTTCTTCTATATCAGTACATCATTTTTCATTATAAAATATCCACCAGGATGCTAATGGAACAGCAAGATTGTGGTTCTTATATACTCTTCAAACCCAGAACTGAACTTACCCCCCAGGGATCAACTCTTAACCAAACACTAAACAGGTTTATAAAATGAATAATAATAGGAGGGAGCAATGTACCCCAAAACAAAGTTCAGAAGGCAGGAAGGGGAGGACAGGATGGATGGGATGGGAACCCTGGGAGGAAGTGGGAAGAGTGCTGCTGTACTGAATGAAACAAATGTGCAATCAATGAAACAAAATGTGAATCAAGTGCTCAATGGAAAACTAACCTGCTTTGCACAGATTTTCCCAGACTACAAATAAATAAAATGATTTATATGATTATACTGATGTTACAAGCAATGACATTTATAAAAAGATTTTTATCTGCCAATGCTGAGTAAAAATTTTCTTGAGTAAATATTAAGAGATGCCCAAATACCTTCTTTAAAAGTCAACTATAATTGATTAAAAATATTTTGTATCCTTATTATACTACAGTAAAGCAAACATTTACCTTTCTTCTAAAGGATTCAAATTATGTTTATCAACCTTCTAGCTGGATTAGTAGAAATATCAAATATTGTCAGTGGGAGGGATTATGAGGAAGCATAAAAATTGTATGTTGTTGTTGTTGTTGTTGTTAAGGGTTGTCGAGTCAGTTCTGACTCAGTGACCTTGTGGTTCAAATTGATTTTGCAGTCTAGCGCATTATCCCACAGTGCCACACCAAGAGCCTTATAATCAAATGTATAGAAGCCTTATAATCAAGCAGCTTTCAATTCTACTATATAAAAAAAGAACACCACCACACAGAAACAATCAATGTTCTTCAGTTCCCTCATAACCCATTTTACAAGGCAAAACAAACAGCAGGAAATACAGCTAACTTCTCTGGGGGGAAATATTTTATAGTTGCTCTCTGAAATGATCTTAGAGAGATGGAATTTTTAGGAAATCTTAATTTCTAAGAATATAACATACAGATGGCAACGTTGTGGGAAGACTAGAACTCTTACATACTGCTGGTGGGACTGTAAAATGATACAACCACAATAGTACGGTGTTTCCTCAAATCTAGAAGTAGAAACATCATTGCTGTTGTTGTTAGTGCTGCCAAGTCGGCTCTGACCCACAACAATCATTTACAGGCTTTCCAAAGAGTGGCAGCAGGTTTGAACCTCCAACCTTGCAGTTAGCAGTCCAGTGTTTATCCTACAGTGCC